CCCGGCCCCGCTCCCCGCCGTGCCCCGGTAACGGGCAGCACCTCTGCCCCAGCAGAGCGAGGCCTGAGGCCGCGGAGGGTCGGGCATTCCTCCCCGGTCCCGCTACCCCCATCTCCCCCCCCACCTCCTGGGGACCCCCATCCTCGGGTTCCCTCATCCCCAGGGATCGCGGTGAACCGGCCTGGGACCACCCTGCCGGGCTGGGGCTGCTGCAGGCACGGGATGGGGGGGGTGGCCTCCCCCGGTGGGACCCCCCCAGGCTTCCCTGCCCCTGCCTGCACCCCCCGTGCTGGGCACCCTGTGCTGCGGGTGCTGGGGCCTGGCCGGATCCAGACTCTGCTGCAGCCGGTGCAGGATCCCGCAGGGAGCATCTCCCCTCCGCCACCCCATTTCTCCCGGCACCCACCCGCATCTCCCAGCCCCCCCCATCCGGGTGCCATGGGGCTGGCTGGGACTGTTGGCCCCCAGAAACCCCTCCTTGCCCCACTTGGGTGCCTGCGCCATGCGTGGGGGGTGCTGCTAGCACCCTGGGGTGCAGCTCACTGGGCAGAGCCAGGGTGCTGGGCAGCGCTGGGTGCGGGGTCCATGCTGTGTGTGCTGCTCTCCAGCCGGAGTGCGTGTTGTGCACCCACTGCTCAGCCCGGGGGGCAGCCAGCACCCAGCTGGGGGCACCCAGCACCCAGCAGGGACCCCCACCGTTCTCTAGCCGGGTCCCTGCTCTCGGGGCAGGGCTGGATGCCCCCTGGGATGTGTGACCCTGCTCAAATCCCTCTCCCCTCCCCTCCCCTCTCCGCCAGCCTCAGGTCTCCGGGGAGCCCCGTGGTCCCGCCGCCAGCCCAAGGGCGCCGTGGGCGAGTGCGGTGCATGTTGCTGGCCAGGAGGCAGCTGTCAGCCCTGAGTACATCTCGCTTCCCGGCATCCGCTGCAAAGGAGCCCTCCCTGCCAAAGCTGCTGAGAGCAGCAGAAACGGTTCCCGGGAAGGCGAGCACTGGGGCTGGGCTCCCCCCTCTCCTCCAGTGCTGAGCCCCAGCTGAGCAGCGAGCCCCCGCAATCCCCATCCTTGGGGCTGAACTTGCCCCATCATCCCCAGCCCCTCCATCCCGTGGTCATCAGGGGTGCCCAGCTCTCGGTGCCGGTGGGAGCATCATCCCCGCTGCAGGGCCTGGTGCCTGGGTGCAGGATGAGGAGTGATGCTCGGGGCGCTGCCTTCGGCAGGGGTGATGTGGACCACCCCTGGGTGGTGGCCCAGCCTGGCCGAGCCAGGGGCTGTGAGGACACTGAGCTGGAGCCCGGCCCTGGGCTGGTGCCGAGGGATGCCTTGCTCTCGCCCAGCCGGGATCCCTGTGTTTAGTCTGGGATTCCCTCCGCCCCAGGCCCGGTCCTGGAGGGTCCGAGCGTCCCCTCCCCCTGCCCGGCCCCGCGGAGGCTGCTGGGGCCCATTACTCGATCGGAAAGGAATTTGGTGCTGCTTTCTGAGCACGCCGACTCCCTGGAGCTCCCAGCCACATTGGAAACACATGTGCCCGGGCTGGGGCAAGGCAGGCTGGGGCGATGCTCCCCCCCCTCGACTTCGGCCATGGTGACGGGGGGGCAGGAAGCAGTGGGTTCCCTGCGTGGTGGCACCCACAGGTGCTGGTTTGCCTGCTCTGGTGAGCGATGGGGTTGTGCGAGGGCAGTGGGGCTGCTGTCCCCTTGGTGGGGTGATGGGGGGTCTTTACTGGAGTCCCCTGGCTGCAGGGACCCCTCCTCCCTGGGCTGCTCAGGACATCTCACCCATGGGTGCCACACATGCCCAGAGCCTGGGGGTGGGCAGGGGCTGTATGGGTTGGGTGGAAGGATAAAATTCGGTGAAAGGGGGTGACACATGGGGGTGACACATGATGCTGCCTGCACCCACTCTGCCATGGCTGAGCCCCGCTGCCAGGGCTGGTGGTGACGTTATTGGGCTGTGGGTCCCTGGGGCATCCCTGAGGATGCTACTGGTCCCAGTGTGGCCCCGCTGGAATCTGGACTGGAAACCTTCGGATCCTCCATCCCAGTGTGGGGTCAGGCCGTACCACGCTCGAGGCACGGCTCTGTTCCTGTGGCAGTGCCCAGGTGATGGGACCCTGCCAAGACTCAGCTGCCCTGGGAACACCCCTGGGTGCAGGCAGCAGCACCAGGCTCAGGTGCCACCCTGCCATGGCAGGGGTCCTGGGGAGAAAGAGCTGGTGGTGGGTGCCCCCAGCACCCCCAGGCTCCCCAGGCAGCGACGCTGTGGCTCTGCCCTACTTGTTTTCTCCTCTCTGCAGCCAGCTGCATCCCACCCCTCTGCCTGTGGCTCTGCACTCCTGCAAACTCCTGCTGTCCATCCCCATTCCCGGGGGATCCCAGCAGGTCCCCTGGGCCGGGGTTGCAGTTGCAGGCAGGGGCCCCGGTTGCAGGCAGGGGCTGCATTTGTCACCCTTCCCCGGCGCAGGCATCGCAGATGACGCTTTGCAGCTGCTTTGCCAGCTCCAGGCTGGGATCCGGCGCCGGCTGGGGCGGCCGATTAGCAGGATCGGGATGTGCGGATTAAAGTCAATCTTGTTGGTGCAATTATCTGCGGCTCGCTGCCGGGGGCTCAGGGGGGTGGAGGGTGCCGGGGGGGAGGGAGGCACCCTCTGTGTCAAGCACCCGCCCGCCTTCCCCTTGTTTTTCAGCTCCCAGGGTCCAGCCATGGCCCTGGTTTGTGGAAGGGGGGGCTCTTCCCATCGAGGCCCCCCAAATTCCCATCCCTGAGCCCAGCCTCTGACTGGAAGCTGCGAGCTCGGGTGAGAACGGATCTGTGCGGCACCACGGGGATTTTGGTGCTCCGGGAAGCACCGTGCAGGCGCCGCCAGCAGAATGATGGGCAGAGCCACCCGCCTGCCCACCCCGGTGCAGGGATTTGGGGGGGGAGGAGGGGGGTGTCCAGCACGGGCGGCCCTGGCTTTCCGGGCGCAGCGCGTGACGGTGGCAGGAAGGTTTGGGTGCCTGCCAGGCCCCGGCAGGTCCCCGCTGCCTGCCTGCCTCCCCCGCTCCCCTCCGCTAATCACCTCGTCATCGGGGCGAGCTGCATCCCAGCTGGGATGGGGGGGGGTTGCCATGGTGATGGAGGATGCTGGTTGCCTAGCAACATCCATCCCCTCGCCCACCCGCCTTGGACCGATTTGGCGTGCGTCCTCCCCACCCCCCCCCCAGCTTCACACCCCTGGGGAGGTGCGGGCAGGCGGGGGGTCCTCATGGAGCCCCAGGGGGGCTGGCCAGGGCGAAGCAGGAGCAAGAGGGGGTTTCCCATCCTCCGGGAACGGTTTCCAAGGAACAGTCTCCATGACGGCCCCATCACACCCTGGCGGCACATTGATTTGCTGCTGCTGGTGCTCCAGCGTCCTCCCCCGGCCTGGTGCCTGCCGGGCCAGCAGCTCACGCAGCCGGGCATGTGAGCGTCCCCGAGTTCCCTGCCGGGGCATGGGGCTGTCCCCAAAGCCAGTCGGTAACTGGCGGGGTCAGGGGGGGACAGAGACGGGCGTGCGAGGAGCTGTGAGGCCACTGTGCCTTGTGGCACGGTATGGCAGCCACCTGCTCCCTGTGCCTGAGGGACCCCTCTGTCCCCAACCTTGGGACCCTGCCCCATGGCTGCCAGCCCGCAGGGTAGATGGGGGGGTGGATTAGCCCTGCCCACAGTCCTGCCTGTCCCTTGGTGGTGGCGATGCACAAAGGGTTGGGATGGCTGTGTGGCAGCTTGGGGACACCTGGCCAGTACCCCACTGACCTCAGTGTTAGCAGAGGGGGAGGTGGGGGCATCCCACTCTTTCCCCTGGCCATGGCTCACCCACACTGTCTCCCCAGGGCCCTCTACACATATGAGGATGGCTCCGACGACCTGAAGCTGGCAGCCTCAGGAGGTAAGGTCCTCTGTCCCCGCAGCCAGCTTGACTCTGCCGGCATTGTCCCCAGCACCCATCCCGGTGCTGGGTAGACGTGGGCTGATGGTGCTGTGCCAGGTGGAGGTTTGCTGGAGCTCTCTGGCCACTTTGAGATCCAGAAGGTGATGTATGGCTTCTGCAGCGTCAAGGACCCCCAGGCCGTGCTCCCCAAATATGTCCTCGTCAACTGGGTGAGTGGGGAGGCCGTGCTGGGGAGGTCTGTGCCCACCAGGGCTGCAGTGTTGGCAGGGACATGGCTGGGTGTGAGGGAGGAGCCCATGGCGTGTGTGGGTGCCCCCACAGTCCCGCTGCCCCATGGTGGTCAGTGGGGCTGGTGTCACCCTGCCCGCCCCTTCCTGGCTACCATAGGTGGGCGAGGACGTGCCAGATGCCCGCAAGTGTGCCTGCGCCAGCCATGTGGCCAAGATCGCCGAGTTCTTCCAGGTGGGTGATGCTGGGGAAGGGGATGATGCTGTTGGGGCACTGACCCCTGGTCACTGATGGCTGCTCACCACCCCCGCAGGGTGTGGATGTCATCGTCAATGCCAGCAGCGTGGAGGACATCGACCCGGGGGCCATCGGGCAGCGGCTCTCCAACGGGCTGGCCCGTGTCTCCAGCCCGGTGCTGCACCGCCTGCGGCTGCGGGAGGACGAGAACGCCGAGCCCGTGGTAATGTCCCCCATGGCGGTGACGGCGATGGCGGCGGGCGCGGGGTATCCCTCCCGCCCGGGGCTCCTCCTGTCTGCCGCGATCCGTCGCCCCGTGTGCCACTTACTGTTACTCCCCCCTCGCTGATCCCAGCCCCTCTGCCCTCCACCCCATCCCTCTCCTCCGTGTCCCAGGGCACCACTTACCAGAAAACCGACGCCACCGTGGAGATGAAGCGGCTCAACCGGGAGCAGTTCTGGGAACAAGCCAAGGTGGGCTACGGGACGGGGCAGCCCCCGGGGAGTGGGGTGAGCCACCGGCCAGCTGATGGACAGCCCTGTCCTTCATCTTACCCCCCCTTCCACCTTCCACCAGAAAGAGGAGGAATTGCGTAAGGAGGAAGAGCGGAAAAAAGCCCTGGATGCCCGGCTGCGGTTTGAGCAGGAGCGGATGGAGCAGGAGCGGCTGGAGCAGGAGGAGCGGGAGCGGCGCTACCGGGAGCGGGAGGAGCAGATCGAGGAGCACAGGCACGGCGGGGGGCTGGGGTTCTGGAGGGGGGGGCTGTGTCCCGTGAGATGTGGGAGGGTGGTCACACACACAGAGGATGCTTGTGCACGGGCCGCAAGTGGCTGGGTGGGCGCATGGGTGTTTGTCCCCACCAAGGATGGGGCTGGGAGAGGGCTGGGGGGCAGGGGCTGGCAGGAGCCGGTGCCCAGCCCCTCTCCCGTGCCCCCATCGCAGGCGGAAGCAGCAGAGCATGGAGGCAGAGGAGGCCCGGCAGCGCCTGAAGGAGCAGTCCATCTTCGTAAGTGTGGTGGTGGGCACGGGGACGGGGTCGGAGCCAGAGCTGCCACCCGGTACTGCCCTCCCAGGAATGGCATTTCCCAGCCAGGTCCCCAGGGCACCCCAGGAGGGGTGACACCGTGTGTCTTTCCAGGGGGAGCAGCAAGAGGAGGACGACAGGCAGCAGCTCAGGAAATCGGAGTCGGAAGTGGAGGTGGGTCCAGTGGTGACCATGCCTGGTGCTGTTCCTTGCTCCCCAGCCAGCAGTGCCCACAGCTGGATGGGAACTAAGCCGGGGGGTACCTGGGGGGTGGTCCCACAGCTCCATGGCACCAGGGTGGTGGGTCTCAGCCTCCTGTGTCCCTGCAGGAGGCTGCTGCCATCATCGCTCAGCGGCCCGACAACCCCCGGGACTTCTTCAAGCAGCAGGAGCGGGTGGCATCGGGCAGCAGTGACGCCATCTCACCGGGCAGCCACAGGACAGGTGAGGGACTGGGGGGGCTGCAGGGACCAGGGGGGGCACAGAGAGGCCCAGGGGGTCTGCGGGTTGCGGAGCAGGTGAGTGCAGTGCCACTGGGACTCCCTGCAGCTCAGCACATCTCGGGGCACCAGGGCTGTGATGCTGGGGGGGCCATGTCCCCTCTGCCGTCCCTGGTGCCATGATGGTGGGTGCCAGGGGCACGAGGATGGCAGGGGGTTGTTCTGCTCTGCCGCGCCACCACCACCACCACTGCTGCCACCACCACCACCACCGCACCTTGTGGCCCCTGCTACCGGGGCAGCTTGTCAGGGGCTGGATGCCAGGGGGGAGGTCTTCTGCAAGGGTGGGGTGCACCCTGCTCCCTGCTTGCTCGAGTGTCATCTGCCCACCCATCACAGCATCGTGCCGGCAGCCAGACTGGCAGCATGGTCAGGGTGCAGCTGAGGTGGCACCCAGGGGTCCAGGGGGGTGGCTTGGGAAGGAAACTCTTCCCAAAGGGTCAGATAAAAGGGATAGGAGTCAGTGGAACACGTGTGGGGCACCCCCATGCTGTGCCCACCCCTGGGTCCCCACTGTGGCAGTGCAGGACACCCCACTTTTGGATCAAGGTATTGCCAGCAGGTCTCTGGCCATGACAGGGGGTCTGTCCCTGCAGAGGGATGGCCATGGTGGGGGTGGCCGGGCAGGGGTGCCCCTTGAGCAAGCTGGGCTGCCTCATAGTCTGGGGTCCAGCCCTGGGACTCTCTTTGTGGCTTCAGGGCATGGGCTGGCTGTCCTGGTGGGCACCTCCAGCCATGGGGCCACATGATGGGGCTGCGCTGGGGGTCATGCTGTGGGGGCTGTGCCATGGGGCTGTGCCGTGGGGCTGTGCCAGAGGCTGGGTGGGAACCTGTGATGTGTCTTCTTGCTGTGGGGTCATGCCATGGGTCATGCCATGGGCTGTGCTGTGGGGCTGTGCTGTGGTGTTGTGCCTCGGGGCAGTGCTGTGGGGCCGTGCCATGGGTTGTGCTGTGTGTTGTGGCCAAAGCTGTGGAGCTGTGCCGTGGGTTCATGCTGTGGGGCCGTGCTGTGGGGCCATACTGTGCCTGAGCAGATAGTTGGCCCCATGGCCATCTCTGGCCTCTCTCCCCACCTGGCTACTTAATGCTGCCTCCTGACATTCTGTCCTTCTGTCCTGCTGTCTTTCTGTCCTCGTGTCCCTCCATCCTCCTGTCCTGCTGTCGGTGCTGCCTCCCATCCTGCTGTCCTCCCGTCCCGGTGCCCCAGTGCCCCGGCCCCACCATGGCCGTGCTGAGCAGGGACTGATCCATCTCTTTGCTCTCTCTCTCTCCGTCCGTCTGTCTGTCTGTCTGTCTTTCTCTCGGCAGGTCGTCTGCACTGTCATTTCATAAAGACAGCTGACAGTGGGCCGCCTTCTTCCTCCTCCTCCTCCTCCTCCCCCCCGCGGACCCCTTTCCCCTATATCACCTGCCACCGCACCCCAAATCTCTCCTCTTTCTTCCCATGTAGGTAGCTGGCAGCCCCCGGGTGAGCAGCTCCAGGGGGGCGGAGCCACGGGCGGCTGCCCCACAGCCCACCTCAGCCCCACAGCACACCAGGCCTGGGGGGTGTGAGGACGGAGCCACGGGACCGACAGCGGAGGCAGCGCCCCTTCCATGGGCACCCCGAGAGGGCTGGGCACCCACGTGGGGGCTGTGCCCACACCCCTGGGCACCCTGAATGCCCCGTCTGGGGCTGACCCCACAGCGGGCACCATGCTCCTGGGGCGGGGGGATGCGGCAGGCTGTGCCCGTGGGGCTGGCTGTGCCTGTGGCATGGGGAGGGGGCAGCAGGCAGGCTGTGCCAGTAGGACAGATGGGGACAGGACAGAGCTGTGCCTGGTGAGATGATGCTCTGCTGTGGGATGGAGCAGGCTGTGCCCATGGGATAAAAGGGGGCACAGGGCAAGCTCTGCTCATGGTGGGGCAGGCTATGCCCATGGGGCATGACTGGCTGTGCCCATGGAGGAGAAGGGGACAGGGCAGGCTGTGTCCTGGACCACACAGGAGTGTGCCCATGGGGCAGCAGGGGATGGAAAAGGCTGCGCCCAGCATCGTGAGGGGCTGTGCCCATGGGGCAGAAGGAGCCAGGCAGTGCCTGGGGCTGTATGGGGCTGTGCCCCTTGGCCAGGGGATAGTGGGGCACAGAGCTGTGCCTGCAGAGGAGAGGCTGTGCCAGGGCCCAGCTGGGCGATGCGTGGGCAGGGCTGGCATGTGCCACAGCAGGTACGGGGCTGCCTGTCTCCATACCTGGCAGATGCGGGGGCTGCGGCTGCGTGGGGCTGGTGGGGATGCCTGGGACGTGGGTGGCACAGTGGTTGGCTGCACCCCTGGGTGCCTCTGCCCTGCCACCGCAGGAGGGGACGACGTGGCGGTGGGTACATGGAGACACGCGTTTGACAGCTCGTGGCTGCACTGGCGTGGGGCAGGAGCAGGGGTGGTGGGTGCTGGATCCCCCCTCCCCGACGTGGGCAGCTCCCCCACGCCACCCCCATCTCCCTTGTCCGCAGGCAGCCAGTCGGACTACCGCAAGGCCTCAGCAGCGGGCTGCAGCCCCTGCGAGCCCAGCCCGGCCGCCACGCCGCTGGGCGAGCCGGGCACCCGCGCCTCGGGCCACGAGACGCCGGCAACGCCCAAAGGTGGGCACAGGGCTCCCGCTGCTTGCCCCTGCCTGGGGCTGCCCGGGCACATCCCTGCAGTTCCTGGCAGCGCGTGTCCCCCCCGACCCCGCTGCAGCCCCCTCGCATCCTCTGCAGCCCCTGCTGCAGTGCCCCAATGCTGCAGCCCTGCCGCCCTCCCTTGCATCGCTCAGTGCATCCATGCTGCCCCATCTGCATCCCTTGGTACGGCCCCCGCCGTCTCTGCTGTGTCCCCCAGCGCATCCTCGCCATATCTGCTGCTCCGCGCCGCTGCATCCCCGCCGCCTCTGCTGCATCCCCCTCCCCAGTGCATCCCCGCCGTTGTTGTTGCATCCCTCCTGTCCCCACCGTGTTTTCCAACGCTAGTGCATCCCTGCTGGCTCTGCTGCACTTGCCCCACGCACCCTCCCATCTCCAGTGCATTGCCCCAGCATCCCCGCTATCGCCAGTGCATCCCCCTGCCTCCCTGTACATGCCCTCCGACTCCTCAGCATCACCCCAGCACTCTCTGCTGCATCCCCCCAATGTGACTCTGCCCTATCCCGACCTGACCCCCTCCCCAAAGGATCACCTTGTCCCCTATGGTGCCTGCCATCGGTCCTCTCCCTGTCCAGCCACTCCCACCCATCCCCGCAGCATCTTCCCCATTTCTCCCAGGCCAAAGAACCTCCCCCCCTGCCACCTCCAGCTGCAGCCCCATCCCCGGGTGTCCCCCCAGCCCTTGGATGAGGAAGGGGATCTGTCCCCTCTGACTCCTGTCATCCGTCCCCCTTGCAGACACCCCCAGCCCCAGCACCCAGGAGACTGGGCCAGCCGCCCCGGAGCAGCACTGGCCCTTCCCAGGTCCCGAGGACAAGGCCACTGAGCCCCCTGGGGACGAGCCTGACCCCAGGCCGGCGTGGACAACGGGGGTTGATGCCCTGGGGGACCTGGTGACCCTGGAGCCCACCGAGCCCTCCTCACCACCTGTGGCCGCTGAGCCCCAGCCTGGGGAGACCCCCAACCCCGAGAGCCTCATCGACCTGTGGCAGAGTGACGGGGACACCACCCCCGCTGCCTGGCCCCTGCCTGCCACCCCCGTCCCCGAGGGCCCCCCAGCCACGCTGCCCGACGAGGGGCCCCTGCTGAGCCTGGATGAGCTGCCTGAGCCCCCCGCCACCTTCTGCGACGCAGAGCAGGAGGAGGAGGAGGAGGAGGCAGTGGGCGGAGGGGACCCCCAGCCCCAGGGGCTCAGCTGTCAGCATGCCCCCCAGGAGGACACCCAGGGCCGGGAGACCCCCCCTATCACCAATGGGGAGATGGCCCCCAAGGACGGGACGCCAGGTCGCGGGGAGCAGGTGAGCTTTGCCGGGGGGGTCGGGTGGGAAGGGGGTGTCAGGAGGGTGGTGGAGTGGTCTGGGGGAGAGGTGGGGTGTATCCTGACAGCCTGCACCCACACACCCCCCCTCCCCAGGCCAGCGAGGGCTATTTCAGCCAGTCCCAGGAGGAGGAGGTACCCCCCCCCGAGGAGCCATCGGCCAAAGCCCCCCAGCCTGTCTTCTACAACAAGCCCCCAGGTGAGTGGGGATGATGATGGTGGTGGTGGTGATGGGGCGCTGTCCCATTGTGGGGCACTCCATGTCGCCCTGACATATCCCCCCCCACCCCCTTCATCCTCCCTGTCCCTCAGAGATCGACATCACGTGCTGGGACGCGGACCCCCTGCCCGAGGAAGAGGAGAGCTTCGGGGGGGGCC